CTTTTGAATGAGTCTTGGGATGCATAATGAAAGAAATAATGAAAAAAAAAATTGATTTTTACCGTGTTTAGGGAAAAATTATTTTGCCTAATTTTTATTAACAAACCACATGGCATAAAAGAAGCAATCATAATTATACTCATTATCTCCTTTTAGCAAAAAAACTGGCAAGAGACCACATTATACTAACTATTGAGGCTAAAAAGAAGTGACAGTAGTGACAAGCATGTCTGAAATATTAGATCGAGGAGACAAAAGTTAGCCTGTGCAGTCAACTGTTATATTTTGTAAAGATGCTTGGACCTGGCTACAAAACAAACTACTGTTTACACATGCAAGGCTTTTGATAAATAATTAAGGGAAGCTTCTGCAAACTAAGAGTATAATAAACCTGGCCTCATAAAGTCACTGCTGTAGTTACAACTGGATAAATAAAGAGTGCTTTAGCTGTGGCAGCTGTCAGGCCAGGACATCTCAGTATCATTATTTTTATGGAAATATTCACGTAAGAGAAAGGAGGGATATTAGGTCTTTTTCACAGCGAGAGAAGAAAATGTCCATGCACAGCCAGGGGACCATGTCCAAATTGAGAATCGAATGACTACTGAGAAGCGTGGCAGGGGGGAACATAATGTCTTATGTTCCTTACTCCAACAAATTGATAATATCTTTTTTTTTAACAAGTTGTTCCATGAGCTGTGGAATTAATGAAAGCCAGCATCATACAGATTCACGTCCTTTCCCTGCAGCGCTCTGCAGCTCAGCCTGCCTCCCCCTTGTCTTTTCCCAGCACTAACCATGAGCCTTCCCCATGTCCTGCAGACCAGAGTTCCTCTTTCCCCCAACCCCAGTGCACGAGGCAGCTGCAGACTGGCCCCGGCATCTGCCAGGCACACGCAGATCTGCCAGCCATCACACGGGCGCTAACTGTCCCACTGCTTTCTGCCAGACCGAATGGATCAAGGTTGAACTCCCCCTGCCTTTGCCTCGCTTGGGAGTTAACTGCCAACTTTCACAACTCTGAAAGGAACTTAATATCTTTGAGGCCTTTTATCCTTCACTCAAATTTGCATGAAATTAGCTAACAAGTTTGAAAGTTGCTTATAAAGGACTGAGAAACTAATAGTGTAATTGCATGTGCCTCATATGCCTAGAAAACAAGGATAAAAATAGAAGAAGCTGTTCTGAGGTACTGAAGAAAATTACTTACGAACAGCAAAGCTTTCAGCAACCACCTGTAGGCTAAAAAAAAGAAAAAGCTCTGCATATATCATTTACAACAGAAACTGAGAACACGCGAGCATTCCTGGAATCAACAGTCATGTTTGGGGTAAGATAACAGATGTGGTTCCTTCAGCTGTACAGAAACCATCCGAAACTTTGTTCTGAAACTTTCTTGCTATACATCAAAATTATTCCGTAATTGCTGCCTCCTAGCCCTTTTGAGATTTTTTAAGGAGAAGAAAATCCTTCACTTTGTGAAGCAAAGAAGTTTTAAACTGCTACCTGTTTGCAGTTTGAGAAGTGCAATAGCAGGATGGAGTTTTTTCTAGTACTGCTAGAGAAGTAGCATCTGGGACTGTCCGAAGTACTGGTAAGGGAGTTTTCTAGAGGGGTCTCAGTTAATATACTGCTCAAACACCTCGAGGGAAAGTCTTTAAAGCATTACATTGTTTGAGTTACCCGCATCTGTTTGTAAGTGGAATAAACTTATTAAAATAGAGGTTCCCTCTATTCCTGTTAAACTGGCATTTCAGCCCCACAGCTGCTCTGCAGAGCACTGTGCAGTCTGTAGTGAGGCCAGAAGTTTTTATCAGCGTGAATTGAAACCCACATTTTCTGGCTTTCCACCCTCACTAAACATGGCACATCTCAATAGAAATACAGTCTTTGTGACAAATTTGGGATTAGACACAAATATTTAAGTTAAAAGGTGTACCTTTCCCTAGTTACTCTTTTACACAGAGGTTCTTTCTGTATAGAGGAATATCTCTAGGAAGTATAACTTGTGGAGTTGGAAATAAATAGTATTCAAAGATAACAGTTTATACCATCCTCTACCACACAGACATTCAGGTAAGAATTTGTATTGCTATTCTCTACCTCAGTAAAAATAGAAGGCAATGAAAAGCCGTGGAAACCTTATATGAAGCACAATTTAAATATATAATGTAAAAAAATGTACATTGTATAGGTACTGGTTATTTTTTTTTGACATAAACTTTATGGCAAAGAGACACTTGCGGAGGAAAAAAGTTTTGAGCCAAATACCCAGGGCTTTTCTGAGTTTCTGATTCTTTAATAATTCATTCATTCCCTTGGCCCCTTGAAGAAACACTTACCTTCATGATCGTAGTTTATTAAAGACTAAAAGGATGTGGATGCATTGATAGTACTTTCTTAACATGCACACTTACTTGTTGGGGAATTAGATTTTTTTCTAAATCACTGTAAAACAGAGAATACCGGAGGAATCATAAAGCAAGGGGTGTAATATGTTAACCAGAAAAAAAACCACTCCGGACTGTTTCAATGTGGGCTCACCAAGTGAGGAAGGAAAAAACAGAAACGAAACCAGTGCTGGAGAGGTGTCCCTTGTGTCAGGCTATGTGATACCATGCAGAGGTACAGCTAAATTCCCAGGCCCTAGCCTGAGGGGGGAATTGCACGTTTGATAGGAAAATATGAGATAAAACATCACAGAGAAAATCCTGAACTTTCCAGCTAGTCCTGGGCTCTGGACCCTAGTACATGCTGAAAATAGTAGTATTTATACGGCATTTCTGGTGCTTAAATATTTAACAGACCCTTCAGATGTCTGCCATCCCTAGTTGGGGTTTGTTAATTTATTTGTGTTTATTGAATCTTTAGTTTATGTACTACCAGTAGGCTCTAGGGAACATAGGGAAATGCTAGGTGCCATTTTTCAGAAAGAGCTAAAGTACAGATGCTGGAATGGCTTGTTCGGAGCTACAGAGCTCTCCCAGTTCTGGGATCCCTAAAGACAGCACCATGCTTCCCTTATAGATTGTATGTCTCTGTTTTGTGCCTTACTGCTTGGAGAGGCTTTATTTATTTTTAAATAACTTTTTACTTTTTAAACAAACACAAACACTGTGAAGACATCTACAGCCCATAATTCTGTTTTTCTTTTTTTAGATTTCTATAGATACATCAGAATAGAACATCCAACATATGTCAGACAGGCCTTTCCTCAGCAGAGGGAGAGTGGAGATGAGCAGGGGTCAGAGGTGAGTTTATGGGTTGGTTTGTGGGGGATGTTTTTGACCTTTAAAAGAAAAACAACAAAAGAAGCATTTAAATTAAAGCGCAGGAAGAAAAAAGTTTAAGTAAATGTATGTATGCGCTTTAAAAGTTACTCTGGTTTATTTTGAACAAAAGCATATTTTAAAAGGTGAGTGGGTTTACTAATACTATTTCTTTGAAGAACACCTTTTACAAACCATTAAGGAAACATTCTCTGTTTAATTTCACAGCAATAAGCATAAATCCTGTCATAACAAATACTTGTGGTTTTATCACTTGTGTGCTTGATATATTGATAACAGTATGGCCTAAGTGCTTGCCTGCCCTATATTAACACATGCTGCTTTGACAAAAGCCGAACTCCTGGTTTCATGGCTGCCGGGAGGTTAGATCCAGGATTCCCTGTGCTGGACTAATAAACTTTGTAGAGAAAGATTACAGTTTGCAGGCTCTGTCATAATACTTAAGAAAGTACTGTGAAGCCAGCCTGCCTTTTCAGTGCAGCCCTCAGGCAGGGCCATTGGCCAAGGAGAAGGGACTGTCACCCCTACACGGTACCAAGGGCTGAGATTCATTCCACAGCTCCAACCAGACACAAGGGTTTCCAGCCTGCCTTCAGCTGCCATCCTCATGCAACACAGCTTTACCAAGTGTAGCGTTTGCATGGAGCTTATACAAAATTTACAGCTCAATACGCTATTCATTCTGAAAGCTAAGGACCACAGTGTCTGCTTTTTCCTCATATGGTGGCAGTACGTTGTTACCCAAAGCACTTTTTCTCCCTGTTTTAAGACTTGGCACAAACATAACCTCCCAATAACCAAAAATCTGTGTAAAAATTAAGTTATTTAATGTGGCATTTACTGTCTCCTCCAGGGTTAGAAGGGCTAAAGAGCAATGAAGAAAGCTATCTGGAAACCTAATGTTGCAGTAATTATCCTTCAAAAACAATCAGGAGGAGAGAAACGTGGCAATCAGTCTCTGCAGCTCTAAACACTGCAGAGCTTACCGATCATTTTACTCTTAATACAAATGGTAAGTGAACGGAGTGGTGGAGGAAAGTGGAGCAGTGAAAAGGTAATAGATTATTATCCTTGGTGAATGATGCAAAAATTGTCAGTTGTGGAAGCAAGCCTCTGTAAGTCGGGTTGTGTAATCCCAGCAGCAGCAATGCCAGCCCAGGGATAAGGGGTAATGTTGTCTCCTTTAGCCAAGTCAACCTGTTGCCTCTGCTTGAGACTGTCACAGACCGTGCCACATGTTTCTTATTTTCAGCTTCATTAGGGAAGCAGGGCAGCTTGTTCATGGCAGTAGAGTTTTGAAGCACGTTATCAGACAGAATAAATGAAAACAAATTAGGCACAGCGTGGGGCATTTGGGAGAGATGAAAACCTTTCACAGCTGAGATACTCCTACAGCAAACTTACATGCGTGAAGCAAGCTAAGAGACAGACCTGGACTCTGAGCTCATGTACACTGGTGTCTATCTGCAGTAAAGACCAGATAAGCTCACTCTTGACAATGCCACTAGTGTGACACTGGAACCTGGTCCGTGACCTCTGAGCAGGTCCGTTGATACTGTATGATGTCCCAAGAAGTCACAGGAAAGGGATGACCTCCAAAAAGATGGCAGTTGCATACTTGGGAGTGTCTGGGTAGATACAAAGAGGCTTGGTCTCTTTGGAAAGACTGTAATTTTTTTCCAGCTATGCTTAAGAACACCTAGGTCCAAAATAATCTTCCTTTCCTCAGCCTGTAGCACCTTGAGTCCTTATTGAGGTGGGAGTGGGGGCAGATGGAGGTGTCGCTCTCACTGGTAGTGCAGCAGCTCCTCCCAGCGAATGGGCTGGGAAAACACCTCCCGCTCCAGCCAGAGTTCGTAGGAGTAGTGGAAGTCCTCGGGGAGCTCCAGCCGCTGTCCCAGCACGCTCTGCAGGCAGTTGTCCACGGGCGCAAACTCTGAGTCTTGAGGTTTGTCGTATCTCCGGCTGTTGAAGGCTTCGATGTTGGCTCTCAGGGTGCATTCTTCAGCCTGGAAATCCCATGGTCTGGCATCGATATCTACGTTGAAGAAGAAACAAGACCAAAGTATTGTGGAAAAAAATAACTCTGATAAGGTTTGGGCAAAAGAAAGGATAAAGATTTTACAGCAACCACAGGCCTGAATTGACCAGAGTATTAGCCAGACAGTTATTCCTAATTATTATTCCTAATCAATTCCCATTATGTATACATTTTGATTTAAGGTATTTAAATGAAATACGTTAAAATAACTTGTAAATTAAGCAGAGTCAGAAAAATTCCTATAGAAATGCCATTATTTCTGCTCTGTAGTGTGCTTAAAGGACTCTCTATAATTACCAAGCTCCTGCTTTTTTCAGAAAGACCCCACCACTTTTACTGAAAATCTTCACAGATGTGTGAAGGAGAGATCAAGATTTAATGCATGTAGCTAAAACCTGGCGAGCTTATTGTGAGCTACTGAAAACAAAGGTTTTTTTAAAAGTTGGACAAATTTAACTATGAATGATGTTGAAAATCTAATAACTGGCTGTAATAACCATGATATTTTAAACATGTAATATTATGTAAAGATGTAAATGAAAAAAAGAATATTTTGAAAGTTGGTCTTTATGAGCTCTAAATCTATAGGAAATAGTCATTCGCTCCATAAAGGTGCAGTAAATTCATTGGCAAAACTCAGCAGTGCTTAAGGGAGGGAAAGGTCTGAGCTGAGTATCAACCCAGATATACAAAGATAAAAATAAACACTCCAGGAAAAACTGTTCCAGATCATGTCTCTGAAAGCCAAGTGCTTCCCTGGAAAAATGTCCAGGTCAAGATGCAGTCTCTGCTAAGTAGTGAATTGTGCAATCGAGTGTTGCATTATGTTGCTGATTAACTCTTTTGGGGGAAGTGGGACACACACAACAATTTATCCTTTGCATCTGTCTTAAAATTGCATTATTCTCACTATTGCCATGTAAATTCAGTTGTTACGGCAAACCCTTGCTCCAGGGCAGGTGATGTAGGTAGTCTTCTCCTGCTGTTTTAGATCATGTAGTGCTCAAGCTAAGTCACCCAAGGCAGGCAGCATCGCATAGCAGTATCCCATTAGTGGCATAAAGAAGCCCTGCTGCTGTATTCAATCCCACAGGGAACAATCAGCATGCTGAGAAACGTAGCAACAGGATAGAAATCCCCATAAAAGAAAGGAAGTCCCCAGTCTTCCTGTTTTCCTGCTCTTTGGTTTTTGGGGGAACTCCACTAACCTCAAAGTGAAATTAAAAATAGCAAGTCTAGTTTTTGGTTCTTCTGAATTAGTGTCATAGTGATATCATGGCTGTCAAAAGCATAACAAGTCTTCAAAAAATAGATTATATCTTTCATAGCTGAAGTTGAACACCTAACATATTTATAATGCCTTTCTCCCTTGTAAAAAAGTTAAGATGTTAGGCTTTTACTTCTTGCCCTGTTTTCTTTTGAAACAGGAACGCTACCCAATTTTTCCACTTAATCGTCATTAAGAAAAAGATACATGCAGTGCAAAAATTTAGGACTGTGTTAATAAGGCAAAAAGATATTTTAATACTTTCTCTTCTTGTCTAAGCTTGGGTCGGTTGTTGCAGCAACTGGGTGTTCTGCAGATTCGGTGTGTATATCAGGACAGCTTAATAGCTTGATGGCGAAAGTGACTTGAGAATGCAAAAGTGCAGGCCTGGGCTTGGTGGAAACTCTTGTCTTGGAGACCTGAGCTGACCATGTCCCTGATCTGATTATTCCCACCTTTTCTCATGCAATCAATTTGTTCCCTCCTGATGGTGTCAAACAGAGCCTTAAAGCTTCTGAAAAAATCCCCAATACTGACGCAAACAAGTTTATGGGATCCTAACAGGATAAAACACGTCAAACCCACTGCGTGCCGATTTCAACTGCGCACGCAGAGAGGATGCTTCCCTGGCACTACTCACCGTTGCCGTAAGCCCAGTCATCGTTCATGCGGTGCCGCACCTTCTGGTAAATGGCAGACATGGTTTTCATGTTGCTCTTTCTCCACTGGCGCCCCAGGTACTTGGTCTGGATTTTCAACAGTTTGAGGACGTACAGCTGCATCATGGCCTGCTTCACCTTCAGAGCTCGTTTCAGTATTGGGGCCGATTTAAAGACTACCAACATCTGCCAAGGAATCAACAGAAATTAATGCAACGTGTTCAAGAAAGCAACACGAGTACTGTCTGCGCAGCTTTGGGCACTAACACCTGGCCATGTACGGTACAAATCCCAAGCAGGTAGAACAGCAGTGTTCAACATAACCAGCGCTTGCTGCAGGGGGCTTGAGGGTCATAGAAATCAGTATTATTTGCAGAAGAAAAGTATTTCTGCATTTAAGGCTCAATCTGTGAAAGAAAAATGGGCAGCTTATGAAGCAGCAGAAGCCCCAGCACTGCCAGGAGAAACTCTCAGCGGGAAGGCTGGGCTGAAGCCGTGCAGAGAGCCAGGGACACGCTAGAGGTGCAACGCTGGCAGCCCACGGCAGGTCTCAGGGGGACGGGACATCACCTTACCATTGTCCTCGAGTGTTTCCACTTGGTCAGCTTGTTGAGGATCCTCAGCAAGTTAATGCAGGAGAATAAATTTCTCCAGCAGAACTGGTTGTTGTCTCCGGCTTCCTGCAAAGCAGAGATGGAAAAGTGTAACCCTAACAGCAGCATTCAACAGCACCGCCACAGAGATATCCTTGTGCAGAAAGTCTTTATTTTTGCTATCTGCACAAGTCTTATTTCCGATGGAGGTACCTCCTCGCTTGAGTTGTCATGCTGCTGAGACACCAACAGACTCTGAGGAAAACCGTTCTGAAAAACTCACATGTAATCAGCGTTTTAATTTGCATTTAGGTTTAGAGTAAGAGCTAAGATAAATCACATTATTCCGTTATGGGAAATATATATTGTGGTAGATTTGTATTCATCGTTTACAGTCAGAGAGCAAATTACAGCCTAGTGATCACCACTGCTTAGAAAACAGTTTTTGTTAATTATATAAATTAATTCATAAATTACCACATGCTTAGAGGACATATTACAGACAAATAAAAGGAAATCACATAACAACACAGGATGACAAACAGCAGCATTTGTATCAGGAGGACAAGACTCTTCTGTAACAAAGATCCCCTCCAGCTTAAGTGCAGCTGATATATTATTTTAAATATTAGCTAAATGTAAGCACCCCCAGCTCCAGCTTGCGTAAATATTGCCTGTGGCACATTTGAGCAGTAATTCCACCACTACAGTAACTTGCTTTATGTTTGAACAGCACTAAGCACAGCAGAAGCGTCCCACAAATAACCTATTTGGGGATGAGAGCGGAAAAAAGTGCCGCTTAATTTATAAACCACTGAGAGCAAGCTACAGCCTTAACAACTCACGGCAAAAGCTGCAGCCTGGTGCAAGATCCAGGTTCTGGGCATCCTTGGGAGGAGTTTGGGGACAACCTCAGGGAGCCCCTTCTGTCAGAGTATCTAATCCAGCTTTGAAACTAGATTTACCCAAGAAAATCCTGCCAGCATAATACCTTTGTTCTTAAAAGCAAGCACCAAACCTATCATTTCAGTAAGCTGGTAAAATGTTATTGTACGTGTAATTTTTAGAGGCCAAGAAGAAAGTGCTTCTCACTTACTTTATTTAATTCTGGGATTTGGTAAAAGCCACTTTGAGCAAATGCACTTTTCTGCCAGTAGAGGCTGCATCTGTGCTGGAGGCTCCTGTGCCCACAGCGGAGCTTGCACAGCAGAGCGCAGAGGCGGGATGTCACCGAGATGTCACCAAGGCGCTCGCGGATGCTGCATGCAGCCCTGGGGATACCACCTCAGGAGCAGTGCCCGTGCAGTTTCATACCGGTGCCCAGTGCTAATCTGCTCTCTCTGCACCAAGTAGTTTTTCCAAAAAGACCCCAGTAGAATAAGCTAATACCCGTTTCACAGGCAGCTGGATTTCCTTTTGTCTCCAATCTGATGCTGTCTCTATAGCTTCAAGTGAGAGTCTTTCTATCAGATTTACGGAAGGAGGAAACAGGCTAAACAGACTTTAATCCCCCTTTTACCGCCGTCTCCTGTTACCCTCCCCATGGCACCACGACACAGTGCAGCAGGGTCCTCTGCAGCCCCCTCCCCAAACACGGGGAGCTGGAGGGGAGCGACAGCCCCGTGACAGGAGAGGGGAGATGGGGACCCGCAAGGAATCGAAGAGCCTGTCCCACAAAAGGATGGGTGAAGCCCCTGCTACCTTGCTGGGACTGGAGCCACTCCTGATTTGTACTGTGTGGGGACAGCAGTTACCCCACAGCCAAAGGGTCCCTCCTCTGGAGACAGCACTGCTGAACTCGTCCTGGTTTTCCATGAAGTAAACCAAACACACTCTCTCCTGCGTTCAACCCACTGAAAGTGTAATCATCTGTTATATCCGCTAAGAAATGTGTTATGGCTGGGGTGTTAAAATCAGTGCATCAGAGCATTAAAAAAAAAAGCTAAAACAACGCATAAAATGTTGGCTGAAGAAATATAAATATGTGCACAAGCGTATACCTCAAGTACCAGGGCATGTTTAATTTCTATTAAATCCTTATATTCATGGGTATCCTCCCAAAGATGAACACAAATGGTAAAATTCAAGTTGGTTTCTGCCTCTTTTCTAATTAAATTAGTCTCCTGTGAGGCTAACATCCGTGCCTGCTGGAGGAAAGCGATGAGGCACTGTCGTTTAATGCAACAGCTCCCAAACTGTGGAGCAGACCCTGCTGGGAAAGGGTAACTGGGAATATTTTTCCTAAAAAAGTTCAGTCTTCTACAGCCATAGAGCTTAGCGTGAGCGTAAGGATTAGCACAAGCCATCGGAGTGCTCAGTGACATGTCGCTAGATGTCCCCATCGGGCCAGGATACGGTCGGTGGGACCTTACGGGCACCAAGCCTGGCCAGGACACCCAGCCTTCAGCAAGTAGCCCATGGACCAGCACAAAACAGGGCACTGATCCCGTTGATGAGGAGGGAGGCGATGTCCAGGAGCTGTCACCCTGAGTAGGCACGCAAAAGGAGGCAAGAAGTGCTGGCGGAAAGCAAGTAGGCACCCAAAAGGAGGCAAGAAGTGCTGGCGGAAAGATACGTGGGACAGCAGTGGAGGACCGTGCCAGCACGCTGGCCACGCGTGACGATCCCACATGCACTCCACAGCAGGTTTTTATATAAATTTGATCTGGCATAAT